TTCCTCTGTTACGTATAACAGAGCCAGGAAAGCAAAAGTTAGTATATTTACGTGGTATATTGTACTTTCTCTATGATATTAATTAACATGTAAAAATTGTTCCTTTTTTCTTTGTTAGTGATATAACTTGGTAATTGTGTAACTAAATAAAATGTTTAAGTGTGTGAAACTTTAATTTTTTCTTATCATATTTATTCTATATTTTAAAGCTCCGACAATTAAGAATTATATAACACTACTTAATAAGCATAAACAATAAACCTTTTATGCCTTATTGCAATCGATACGTATTTAAATAAATGTACAGTAACTACACGTTATTGTTAAAATATTTGGCTATATTTTATAATTTGAAACAACTTGATAAGAATTGTTTTTATTGTCTAAATCGCAAGTTATACAGTGTACTGTACTGTACGCTCGATTGCAAAAAAAAAAGTCGAAGTACCTTAAAACTGCTGAGCAATAGTAATTAAATTCTGTGCGTAAAATGGTAGTGAAAGATAAATAAATTTGTTACGTCATAAAAGAACAGCTTCTTCATAAATATTAAAAAATCAGAAAATGACAACTCAATCTGGCAATTAACGTAAGCGGTTCAGTGTCAGAGATGGAGTTACAACTTGCTTATATACAATATATGTGACCAAACTGTTTTTTAATAAGAATATTTTGAATAATTTTAATAAAAATAAAAAGTTGCAATTATTGAACCGAATTAGTGGTGCTGTAATCGTAATTAATGAACCAGTTTACAAACCGATTCTACATAAAAAATATGTTAAACTGTGTCGTAAATCAAAGCACCAAAAATTTCTCGAACCATGAAACAATACATTAAGAGTTAACAGGTCTCTAAATTCACCAGGCATAAATCTAGTAACGGTTACAAGAATATCCTTTTAATCGATCATCTGAAAAATTAATTTTATAACATCAAATTCGTACAGAGATGCAATTAATATAGAGAACAATTGACGTAGACAGCAATTTATATACAAAATAATTCGTGTAGACAGTAATTTATTTAGGGTAAACGAAGGCAATTCGTACGGACAACAGAGAATAGTTCGTAACCTTAATATAATTCGTATAGAGAAATTATAATTTCTATTCGATTTTCCGTTTAATCTACATAAAAATTCGGATTAAATAGAGACGCTATACGGAAACTTATAATCTCCATTTTCTATGTATAGCAGTGTAATAGCGAGTAGAAGAATGGAAGCTGTAACAATCGAGTAAAGAAGTTGTAAATTAAATTTTTCAAGAAAGAATTTTAAAATATTCCCCGAAGGGATTTTATACACTTATTGAAGTTCTTTATTCACTCCGACTTCATTCTTCTGTACTTTATCTTACATCAACCAGACATTTATTTTCAAATAATATTCTTTTACAATTTTATATTTTAAAATTACATAATTATTATTTATAAAATATTTCGGGAATGTTCTTGTATGCAATAACGTTGAGCAAATACATTCGTTTGTTTAACAAAATATCCATCCGTGACTTTTATTTGAAATAACAGCAACAGTTGACATATGCTTAATTAAAAACATTCATTTCAAATCAGTATTTTTCGATAATATTATGTTTGTAAAATTGCTTTTTATCATCTTAATTTAAATCCTCTTCAGAGCATAATTGCATTTAAATAACTTGCAAAATCGTTCGAAAATCCTCGTAAATTGTATTGAAATTTTCTAAAAATTTGGTGGCAAGTTGTTTACATCTTCCGATGATGGAAATTCTCGTCACAGACCCGTAAGTTCCTATTTCGAAGACGTGAAGATACAGTTTTGATAAAAATTCAATTGTGTGAATCGATTTGAGTTCTGGCTTAGGTTCCTCCACTAACTAGAAAGCATTTCGGGATCCTCCACGAATCAATTGAAATCCTTAGCTTCATCATGGGCGTTCCAGAGGGAGGCAAACGGGGTATTTGCCCCCTCCCTGGGATCGAGTGAAACATTCCACAAATTACAATACATATCTCAATCACTTTTACGAAACTCATCACGGGACCTTGATCATGGAACACTTTGATGAAATACTGCATCAAAGCGCCCCATGGTCAAGGTCCCGTGATACCCGATATTCTAAAATCTACTTGTAAAAAGAACTCAAAAATATTAAGTAATTAAAAAATTTATTGATGTAATTATTTGCTTCCAAGCTTTCCTTTGGAAAATTTTCTGCGGACGCCCATGGCTTCATCCACAAATTGAAGTGGCATCTAAGATCTAAGCATCATCCACGTTAAGATGCCACTCGATTACAACAGCATACTTTAAATCAATCGAGCTACAAAATCCAAAAATTTTCAAAAAATCTTTTACAATTTCTTGTAACTGCAGCACGAATATACTCTAGAAGACATCAATCAATAGCACACATTTTAAATTTAAAAAAAACTAACCGTTACGTAAATTTATTCAATCTCGATAGCTATCTCCTTAATTACAGCTTTAGGCTACGTTGACTCGATTCAGTTTAATTTCCAAAAAATAAAAAAATAAATTAATTTTTTTATTTCTCGAAACGTAAAGGAAAAGCGATAATCTAAATCAATTTCCATTTTCAAATATCATTGGAATGAGAGATAATATCCAATAAACAAAGGTTGACTCTCTCTGATCCAATTACTTCACCTTAAATATTCATTAAATGTCAAAAATTATAGCAAATTTTTTGGAATTAAAAAGTAATTTTTCTCATAAATTTTTAAAAATAACTAATTAATATAACATAAGTTGGCTTTTATTGGAAAGTTATTTCAATTCTGCCTAGTTAATGGGTTTCCATTTTAAATCTTCCATCTTACATTATGGATTTTTCATTAAGATTCAAAATGAAAATTTCATTATTTTTAAAGTAAAAATTGTCATTTTTTAAACAGTAATTAATATATATATATTTTTAAATAAGTAAATGGTTTTGCAATTATCAAATATTGATTAAATGGTTATAAACTGGTTCTCCTCCTCTATTTATTTCTTAAAAGTGAATTAAAATTGATAAATTGACATGTACAATACTTTAACCAAGTTGCCAGTAGAATAGGAAATTTCTAAAGGTTAATCTCAAGATTAAAAATGACTACATATTCTCTTGAAAATTTTTTAGATTATTGTTATTTTTGTGAATTTAGATCAGGGATTCCCAAAGGAATAGATTATAAGGAATTTCGGGAAATTCATTAGAAGTTATCAGTCCAATGAGATAGGTTTATGGGAGTTCAGGATGTAAATTTATGCATTGTTAGTAGTTCTTTTCTATAGAAGCTATGTATGCATTAATACTAGATCAGCAGATTTAACTATATTAGCAAAAAAGGAGGGAGTCAATACTGTGAAAGGATGAGGAAACCTTGAAGGGGTTGACAGTCAAAGAAGTTTGGAAACCTCTTAGTTGGATAAAGTTAAATTTATTATCTATCATCTAATCTTAATTTATATTCATTTCTTAATTCTTTAAGAAATTAATGGAAATTTTAAGTTTTTCATCTCAAATTTGGTTTAAAAAATATGCACAAATAGCAACAATCTAAAAATTGGCAAGAGAAGAGCAAATTTATAACCAATTTTCACAAAAGATTAAAAATTGCATAAATTTTAAATGTGTTTGTTTTGCATTTAAAAGTCTGTTAATTCATAAATTAAAAAAGATTATATTAGTGTAGCAGTTTATATTAGAATAAAAACTACACAAATAAAAAAAAATTTAGTAATCATAAGATTTAAGAATTGTAATTTATTCACTTTTAAAAACAATAAATCTCAAATCTTATGATTAGAAAATGATTCTGAAAAAATTTGCCATTCTGCTAGAAACTATTATTCAACAATTTTTAAAAATGACAATAAGTACTCTAGAAAATTTTAAATCAATCTTGAAACTTGGGAAATACAACTCCATGTTCTATGAATATATAAAACTGTCTCAAACTTCGCTCAAGGAATCGATCATTTTATTTACTGTAACATTTGAGATAAACACACTCATCTTCAGTAATACACATTAAATTTTAATATGTGCATCGATGTGTATAAGTATGTTCCTCTCAAAAATGTTATGATAAATAAAATATTTGATTCCTTGAGTGAAGTTCGAGAGAGTTTTATAAGTTTAAATATTTAATTTTGTAACTTTAATCTCAAGAAATTTTAACTGCATGAAATTTATTTAAATCACAAGAATAAAAACAGTGTTAAAAAATTTACTGTTCTGATTATAATTAATTTTTATAATTTAAAGTAACTAACAAAAATTATTAATCTGAAATTAAATAAATTAATTGTTAGAAGCACAGTTTTTTGGCAGTTTCTAATTAGAAATTTGCAACTTATTGCTATTTTTAAAATTGAATAATAGTCATCTGCAGAATAGCAAAATATCAATCAAGTAATTTAAACCTAATTTAAACTGTGGATCATAAATGTTGAAAATTTGGATGAAATTGTTAAATGATATGCAAGTACCAATTTGGCAGGCAATCAAACTTTTTAGTTCAAATGTGTATATAAAACATGATTTTATGTTCCTAAGACTGTGTTTTATGATTTTATAAATTGTAACATTTAGTTTTAATAAAATTACAAAGAATAAAAACAGTGTAAGCAGATTTTTCTTCTCTCTTTGGCCATAAATGCTTTATTATACATAAAATTCTTTTTAATGACTTACAGCAGTTTTCACAAATGAAATAATAGAGAAAACAAAATCTAATGCAAATATATAGATACAGTATTATATGTTTATGCATTTTATACTGTATATATGCATGCACTTAATATATGCATTCATGCTTTCGCATGTTTATTTATTCCATTATTTTTCCTGTTTTTAAGATATACAGATATATCTTATGCCTGGTCCGATGCATTTAAAAACATGACGACAGCAACAATAAACAACAGCAACAATTAACAATCTTGTTTTTAAAGGAAATTTAAAAAAGTAAACATTTTTCAAATATCTTCAACTTTTTTTTTCCCCCGTCTTGATTTTTAGGAAATTGTGTATTCTGACAGTAACACAAGGCTGCTTTAGCCAGAGATCTTTCTCTCCGATGTTTTATTGGCATGAGGAATGGAGTGAAGCCAATAACAAATGAAAATACCTGCACGGTCTCAATCGGCAGATATCTTTGAAGCGGTTTTGACCAGATGTTTTTCGATGCAACGACTATATATACAATATATACTGCTTTTAATATATAAAGAAATAAAACATGTACACGACCTTTAAAGCGCCGTTTGGGAATGAACAAACGAAGGACCGTTTAAATATTTTTTTTGTTTAAAACGATACGCTTTTATCATTTTGTTCCAACTCAATGGACATTTTGGATGGCAATTTTCACAGTACAATTTATATGTTCAAATTACAGGAATGAAAGAACATCAAAAATGGGATGATTAATGTTAATGATAACATAATCATATTAATCAGAAAGATGTTTTGTGCGACATTTCCCGAATGAAAAGAATGATCATTTGAATAATTCACTTTTCTTGATCTTCATCCATCGGCTCTTCAGTTTCCTCTTCGGAAGTCCTCCTGTGATGACAAAGGATTTTTAATAATTATTTGATATTTTTAAGTTGTTTAATTTAATTATTTATTTATTTGAAGAAATAATATTTGTTTAATCAACTTTAAAATTAAATGTTAATGAAATTTACATACATGATCACCAGTTCCTGCCAAATGTAGACAAACAGGTTTTAGATGATTTTGTGGCCATTTTGTGGGTAACAGCATTTGAAACCTAAAAAAGAGGATAGTCATAAAATAATAAATCAAACGTATTTACAATCTATAATACTATTACAAATGCTTAACTCTTGAATATCAAAATACTAAATATACTGTTTTAAAAAATAATGAAATGTTATGTTCAGTACTAATGCTAAAGTAAAGTGAATTTTAGTACATAAATTTGAATAAATATTGAATATTTCAGTATTTTTATAAAAAAGAAAAAACACATATGAATCTAAAAGCTTGAGTTTTTCCATTACATTAATTTTATTTAAGTCAAATTATATGGAAAATAAAGGCTTCTCATTATTTTATCATTTCCTAAAATGATCTTTTTTGTCTGATATGTAACTATATCTACACTAAAATAGTATTATTGACTTCATTATAACTTAAAATATAAATTATTTTTAATACACATTTTTAATAAATATTTTGTAAGTAAATATTTATTAAATATTAGGCTTAGATTATTATTTACATAGTTCGATTCAGCAGCAATTGTCAAATCAACTAAAAATTTGACAATTGCTGCTGAATCAAACTANGAAATAATTTTTAACGATACAATAGCCATGATTATTATTTTAAAAAGTTTACATTAGGCTTAACATCAACGAAAATTCTACATGAAGCAACACACAATGAAGAAAAATTTCAACATGGGATAAGTTAATATATTTTTTCGTACATAATCGGTTATCCAAAAAATAAGTTATCCGAACGACCCCAGTCCCCAATTGATTCGAATAAACGATGCGCTACTGTAAGCCTCTCTACTGTATATAAATAAAACTATCTTTACAGATTAAATTTTAATTCTTTGTGCAATTTTTTTTCTTCAAAAAATTTCAATTATAACCTATAAAATTCAATATTATAAAACTATTAATAAAATCTTTTTATTCTTTGTTATATTCCATTCAAGTAATGATAATTATTATTACAAAATAAAATCTGACAACAAATAATTTTTTTCTTCAACAGTATGAAATTATAAAATTGATGATTACATTTATAAAATAAATTATTATTTTATTGATATAATCATTCCTAATATTAGATACTATTTTAAGTTTTCATATGTTTTGATTTTGTATTAAGTATATTTATAAGTGAAACATTAAAATTTCAATTAAAAAACAAAAACAAAAAGAAAACTTTGCATTTTAATTATATATTTATCATAAATCAAAATTAAAATTAAATTTACTTACTGCAAATGACCTTGTGATACTGCAACAGAGAGGGAAGCAAGGGCTGTGACTGTCTCAACTTCCCTTTCTTTCTGTTGTGCCTCAACAATCGAATAACCAATTGTGTGAGCCCACCTTTTAATACATGGCCAATGTGGAGCTGAAAATTTACAAAAATTTATTATATATATATTATTTTCAGTTTTATTATGCAAATCTAAAAGATGAATAAAGTGAGTGACTATGTCAGAACAGTTAAACATTTAAGGATAATTCAAAAAGTAGCATAAGTTGAAACAACTTTAAAATAGAGAAAAGCATTTTCTTGTTTAAACTTTATCAAAATTAAGTATCATAAGTGCTGTTCACATAATAGCTGATTATGTTAACTGTTAAAAAATGTGAAAAATTCTTAAAATAAGAAGCAAGCTTTTTATTTCTTTCAGATGAAGAGAAAATGATTAATTTCAGATTTCTGTTATTCAACTAAAACTAATAATATGTTTGATGAAACACTCATTACTTAGGAAAAGTCCAAACAACAATATTTACTTACATACCTCATCTCTCCACTTTTGTCATTATATACAGTGTGCTACAAAAAGCAGTTTTTTTTTTTACTATTTCCGCCCTGTGGGCACTAAGAGAGCCTCTTATAGCAGGCCCATTATGGGTTCAGCCAGACCCACAATGGGGCAACTGGGTGGTGAGGGATGGGGCCCGACATATCCAAACGGACCACCCCCCCGAAAATTTCCTGGGGATTCCTTGACCCGTCCAGATTCGATCCCAGGTTCCCCAGAGCGGTAGGCTGCCACCTTGACCGCTTGGCTATCTGGCCACAAAAAGCATTTGGCACTTATATAGTAGAAAGTATACACCATACAGAGTAAAGAAATCTTAGTAGAAATAGGTCAAAAATTCAACTATCTCTGAGATATTAACAATTTAGCATCATGACTGACTGACTTCTATGTGCCACATGAAATGTNTTAGGTTAAATTAGATTAGGGTTTGTTAGCTTTAGTTATCTGGTTAGGTTCATCCTAGGTTATGGTAGGTTAGTTTAAAAGTGTCCTCATACTTCATCCCTTTCAAACACCATTAGGAAATAAGTAAAGTCAACCTTCTTTACACACTTCTCTCAATACATAAAATATTAAAATCTTTTCTCTGGTGACAGCACAATCAATTAAAAAATATATACTTTTCATAAATTTTTTTTGTTATTTTATACTTTCAGTCTAAATTTGGTTAGTCCTAGTTGTAAGTTAGATTAGGGGCTCTTAGCTTGGCTTCTGGTTAGGTTAAATTAGATTAAGGTTTGTTAGCTTTAGTTATCTGGTTAGGTTCATCCTAGGTTATGGTAGGTTAGTTTAGTTAGTAGGTAAGTTAACATTTAAAAATAAATAAATAAATAATTAAATAAATAAATAAATAATAAATTTTAGGGTCTTGCTCATTTGTCTCTGTCGGTCCATTCATATTGTCTAGTTTGTCATTGTGTTTGTTTGCTTTTCACACTGTCTGTCTAGCTGTTAAGTAGTATTAAGATTTGCAATCACGTTCAGTTTTATTAGTATTGAATAGATATGTCTTCCTACTAACAGCCACTTGGCACTAACTTCTACACTTAGCTATTCGGCACTCAATTATTGTGTTCACTACACTCAGATTTTCTTTAGACCCTTCAGAGGACTACGGTCTTGCAGCCTAAAAACTGCATGCCAACATCAAACATAGAGGGTACTGTAGCAATATGTACGCCGTTCAAAAGGATCCTACCTTTTTCTACTGTCTCTCTCTCTCCCTCCTTCTTCCCCCTTTCCCTTATCCTCTTTTCTGACAGCTAAACACCTCGTGTATGGCCAATGTGTTTCTTGTATGTATGTATGTATGTATGTATGTATGTATGTATGTATGTATGTATGTAATACGTATGTAATTTTGTACTTTCCTGGCCACTTTTATCAAATGTATATATTTTTTAATTGATTGTACCATTGCTAGAGGGAATATTTTAGCATTTCATATATTAAGGTGCACAAAAAGTCTCTAAAGAAAGGTCAACTCTGCTGTAAGACTTTTTCTTGATGTGTGAAAGGGATTAAATATGAGAACACTTTTAAAGTACTGTCTACTTGAGAATTTTTTGTAAATTGCTTATTACGTAAGCTATAATATTGGAATAATTCTGTAATCATTGTTTTATGCTAATAATATATCTTGTGTGCATTGTATAAACAGAATAAATCAATCAACTTAAAATTTTCAAAATGCTGTTACAGTTATCTTTTTAATAAACTAACCTTGCTGTCTCAACTTCTTTTGGTACAACTTCTGGAATATATTGAACAAATGGACTAAGAAAATGACCTTCCAAAATTTTGTAGTGAGAATAATTTTCTACCTGTTATCATCATAAAAATAATTAAATATCAACTTTTATTAATAAATAACTAAAAGCAATTTAAATATAATTAAAATTAATTAGATAAATATATAAATTAACATTATAATCTTATTCCTATAATTACATATATTTTAAAATACAAACTTGAAAATATTCTGTTTGTAATCTGTTTTCTTTCAAATTTTATATATTTTAATGCTTTTTATATATAAAACAATTATAACAACAAAATAAATATTAGTTATTAATAAAAATTCCAGAAAAAATATTCTCCTGCTGAAAAATTCTTATCAAGTTAGAAAAAATTTATTCTTCTAGTCAATATATCTTTCATTCAAGCTTGAATTTATTTTAAAATCATAAGATACAGAATCTTGCTGTTTATAAAACTAAATTGCAAAAGTTAATTCCCTTGAATAGCTTTCAAATGGAAACAAATTGTAAGAAAAATATAAAAATTTTATATCTGTCCAACTTATCAACTTTCTTTTAACCTTCTAGTACTAACATGCAATCTGTGAGACTAACTAGTATGAAGATTAGGTAACTAACTTATGTTCATAACTGTATTAAATAAATTAATATTTTATTCTAAATAAGTTTACTTTTATAAATAAAGTAAACTGCAAAATATTACAACATTCAATTTTTTTCCTTCACCATTTAGTTATTGCTCAAATAATGTAACATGAAAATAATCATAATACAATTAGCATCAAATGGCCATGAAGAAGTTAATCATTCTGAAAGATTATTANATTAAAATTATATATTTTATAGAAAAATATAATTAAAGTTTTAACTTAAAACTTCTTTATGTATTAAATACTCAATTTAAATTAATAAAATATTAAAATATATCTATAAGCTTATAATGTACTAATTTATAAATGCCAATGAATCAACATCACAAACTATACAGCTCTTCTAAAATTGATGTGTCAAGTTTTTGATATGTTTTTTGCTATTTATTAATAATTTTTTATATTAACAGGTGCTGGAATCTCTTTTAATCTGAATTACAAGACAGCACTTAAAACTGTGAGATTATTCACTAAATGGTCACAGATGATATTGCATGTAATGCATGTTCACTTGAATTATCTACATTGCAGTTATTAAAAACCCTCTATTCTGTGCAACTTTCTTTTAGTTCATTTTATGTAAATTTAGCTTTAGCTTTGGCTCTGGCTAGGATTAAATTTAAATAAAATAAAATAAAAAACTGCAGGTATCAGTAATATCAAGTCCATATTTAGTACAAGTTTAACTTATTCTAATTTTTAACTTTCTAGCAGGCTATAATATTTTATAGACATAAGAGGCATAAAATTAACGCAAAATTCATTGTTCAATTTTTTGCAACATCAGTTAATCTAGCAAAAACTTAATACAGCAAGGCTTTGAAAGAAAGTATGCTGGAAAATTGATGATTGACTTGTATTTATCATAAAACTTGTTACCAAAATGGAAATGAAGCAATATGTGAAGTGTAATCATAATTTTTTTTAAATTTAGTCAAATAATTAAGAATTACAAAAAAATTATAAAATAGTAATTTATATATTAACCTATCTGGCCACAAAAAGCATTTGGCACTTATATAGTAGAAAGTATACACCATACAGAGTAAAGAAATCTTAGTAGAAATAGGTCAAAAATTCAACTATCTCTGAGATATTAACAATTTAGCATCATGACTGACTGACTTCTATGTGCCACATGAAATGTGAGAAAAGAGGATAAATTTTCAGATGTTTATCTCAATATTTACAGATGATGTTCCATGTCCTTCCACTTCCATGCATACTTGGCATCATAATCATAGAGTTGAAAACTTCCTCAACAATTCCATTTCTTTGACAAATAATTTATATAAAAAAAAAAGTTGAATTTTCAGCCTGTTTACTAAAGTTCTTTTACTCAGTACAGTATGTACTATCTGTTGTAAATGCTGAATGTTTTTTTAAAATACTTTATATTATACATATAAACATTAGATATACAAAACAAATATGAAGAGGTAATGTATATTTGTTTACATTTTATTTTTCGATATTATATTAAACTCATCTCTTATGGATTACAATATAAAATAATTTTCATAAATTATCTATTTACTAAATCCAAAATGCTAATTGAGGAGAATGTTTTCAATGCATGTAGATATTATGTATCTTGTGACAACTATTGTGCAAGATAAATTAATTAATAAACAAATAAATAAAATTTTATTTCCAAACTATGCTCAAAATTTCATAATTAAATAGTAATAAAAATTAAATGTCTATATAGTAAATGCATAGATTTAAATCAATTAAAAAAAGTGGTAAAAACTTTATATTTTTTAATTAGGTTTCTATTACTGGTTTTTTTGTAGACTTTAAAGAAGTAAAAGATAGTGGCTTTCTTTCTTCAGTAACACATCACATAAGAAACAGTTGATTTATGTATTTTTTATTAAAGGAATTTCTAAGGAAATTAAAGGAAACCATTCTAAGGACTAAAGAGAGGTCATTAAGACCCGAAATGCATTTCCTTTAATAAAAAATACATAAATCAATTGTTCCTTGTGTGATGTGTTACTGAAGAAAGAAAGCCACTAGCTTTTAATTCTTTAAAGTCTACAAAAATTTATATTCCTCACCATCTTATACATGTTACCTTAATATTGACAAATANAAAATATAAAAAAAAAGGGATACTTCTTTTTGATTTAATTATTGAAGAACTGTTAGTGATGCTTGATTATTTAGTTTATTTATTTTTTTTTGTGCTTTAGGTATCATTAAAAAAGTAATTTTAAACTTACCCTCCCTCAAGTGCTAACACAACTTTTCCATTTGCTAGCTGCATTAACTGCTTAGTCATATTTCCAAAACCTAAACAAGAATTTAAACATTAAGTTAGTTTAATTATTTAAATTCATTTTATTTCTAAGATATTTTTACTAAAATTCTTTTACAAAATGCATTCAAAGTTACTTAAACTACATTTTGCTAGAAATCACCTTCCTGTAAGAATGTACAATTGTATAAAAGAATGCACAATTTCTTACAGTATTCTATTTCTTACAGATAGAAAAAATTCAAAAAGTTACATATGATCAAAATAACAACTTTATGATAACTTTCAGAAATTAATGGTGTTGCTTGAAAGGAATAAAATAGAGTAAGAATATTATTAATCTATACAGACATTTGATCCTGTTATTAAAACTTACTTCTCCAAATAATAAAATCTATTGTTTTCAGCTTTATTGGAAACATTTAAATTAATTTCTGTAATACAAAGTAAATTCAAAACTTGGACAATAAGTGCTTGAAATTAAAATGAATGATCATATTAAATAATCTCTAATTTATAATCATTTTAATATTTGTTAAATTCATACAATCATTATTTCTATGCGATTAATTTTGAAATTTTTTTTTATAAAAATAAAATTAATAATTTTGCTTTTATTATGTTTCTAAATTTATTTTTAGTAATTGTTCAAAATTGTTTAATAAAACTTTTGTGAAATATAAAAAGCTCATGCAAAATTTTCATAACTTTCTGTTTCAATGTTTTATATTCTATTTCTAAAGGTTGTAAATAATAAAAATATTAATATTTAAATTTGTAAACATTATATAAAATACTTTCAAATAATAGCTAATATTAATACTTACAAGCAGCTGTGATATTATAACCACCAAGAGGTGCAGGATGTCCATAAGCAGCATCAAACCCCGATGCCACAAGTACAATATCAGGATCAAAATCTTTGGCTATTGGCATGACAATTGTTCTATAATAACAATTATCATTATTATAAAACAAATATGTAAATACATCGTATATTTAACCAAAAATTTTAAAAAAAATCAGCATTTAACAATAAATATTTTCTTGATTCTACAATTTAAGTTTCTTGTTGTATTTACATAAAATTAGAACTTTCTAAATTTAAAAGAATCCATTATTAATACAGTAGATTCCCAATTACCCGAGGTTCTGTATTGAGTAAAATGAACATGTATGAGAGAATACACTACTTTTCTTATACAGTAATACCCCGACTTACGCGAACCCGGAGTTACGCGATTTTCAAATCTTGTTGATTCGTCTTTTGTTTGAGCGCCACGCAACCCTTGATTACTCACTCTCCCCACACTATTGTTTAGCTTACATGTTCGGATGTGTCGCGTGGAATCCACACATAGCTACAATTTATTTTGTGTTATTTATTTCTGTGTTTGTTATATCTACGGATACTTGATAGACTCTACTATGTCATCCAAACCAAGTAGAACTAATTCTTCTGCATCAAACAAGAAAAGAAAAACTTTATCTTTGGAATATAAAGTTAACATTGGGTACGTTCGTAAAGTCGAACGAGTTAAGAGAGAATGACGTCATCGTTATTCCTATTTCGTTAGACTTTTCGAACGATTCGTTACTAACGCATTTAACTCGTTTGACTTTACAAACGTACCCATTATTAAAGACTTCGATACAAAAATGAAAATTTGTGAATTGGCAAAGAAGTTTGATCTACCGGAATTGTCGGTCAGAACAATTATAAAAGGCAAAGAAAAAATTCTCGAAGCTGTGAAAAATGCTCAATCTTTAAATTCAAGCATCATTCGTAAA